AAAGCACACGAATTTCCCTAACTTACTTGACACCAAAACCTGACCTGAACCCACAGCAATAGGAAGTTGTAGGTAATTATCTGAGTATATGTTGAAGAAATTGTGTTTTATGAGCTGTTCCTCTAGGGATTAGTCTTTGCCCTGACTGCTCCCGAAAATTCTGAACTCAAAACCTAGCCCCAGGGGCCTGGGTGAAGAGCGGACCTGCTCTCAGGTGACAGCCCTGCCTGTGTGCATGTACATGGCTCCCTCACTTGGAGCCCTGGCTCCTTCCAGCCGACAGGGCAGTGGTGCCAGAGCCCAGGGTTCTAGGGCAGAGTCTGGAGAGCAGGCTCAAACCCTGGGGGTGCTCAGGCCACGGGAACCCAGGCTAGTGCAGTCAGCGGCTGGCCGGCCATGAGCAGGAAGCAGCAATCCATGGGGTGGTCTCCCACTGCCCTGACCGCAGGCTTAGCCAGCCTGCAGATCCGGCCCACTTGTCGGGCTAACAACAGCCTCCCCTTCTCCTCTGGATCCTGATGGCTGCAGAGACTGCCCATCTCCTCTGGATCTGTCTGAGAGCCTCTGGAGGAGGCTGGGGCACAGGCCTGTAGGGTAAGGCCAGCCCAGATTTCCTTCCTGAGCATACCCCCGTCTCTCTCCTTCTGGCTCCAGTCTCCCATTAGGGACCCTCCCCTCTGTGACAGACTCATGGGTTCTTATTTATTTATTTATTTATTTGTTTGTTTGTTTGTTTGCTTGTTTATACCTGACCAGAGGAGAGAAGTGAGAAAGCAAGCCACCAAGTCTGGGACTTGAGCCATGATAGGCTAGGCCATGTGAGAGTCCAGCGCCATTAACCACCATGCTACCTGCTGGCTCCCAGATTCATGGGTTCTTGATGCAAGTGGTTTATTGCCACTTAAGCCAGTTTCTTTGTGCTGCCCGATGGCACAGGGGTGTGGTCTGGCTGTTGGGCCGTGGTCACGAGGGTTCGTAGCATGGGGTAGCAGAAGTGGTGAGATGCTGCTTCTCGTGCCCGGCACCTCACTCCTGGGCACACCATGTAGCCAGGGGGAGTGGTGGAGTGGGAAGGGCTGAGAAGTGGGTCCCATGTACCAGCTCAGTGGGAGGCTCCAGTCCTGCTGGGAACGGAGCAGCCAGCTGCAGCGGTTTCTCCCGCTTTCTCACTGGCCAGGGCCACCTGCCTCAAGCCTCTTCGCCTTCCCAGGCCCTTTGGCAAAGTCCCTGTGTTCCTCAAGGAGATGTCACCATTGCAGGCCCCTTCTCTGGATCAGTGCCTGATCTGGTGAAGGTAGCCTGTGGGGCCTGGCTTCCTCCAGTTCCGGCGGATCCTGGCACTTGTCCTCCTGGAGGTCAGATACTGCTCACTGGAGGTCACTGTGGTACCACTCTGTGAGCCGGCCAGGGGGAAGCGGGGCTCGGGGCTCCTGCAGGAACAAGTGTATGATAAACTAACATCAATACAGAGGAGAGATGGGGGACTTAAAGAGACATGGGTCACTGCTGGACAGACACCCTGTTCAGGGCAAAATGAGCCCCAGGCTGCCCAGAGAACGTACAACTAGGCAGAGCTCGGAGTTCTCTGCTATGAGGGCTGGATGGGATCAGGGTGCCACACGCAGTTCTCCACCCCCTTACCCCGCACTCCTGGCAGACATTAGTCATCACGATGGGAAATTGGTTTGAAGCAGTTACTACTGATACAGTGAGGCTGACTTGCCGTCCCAGAACCCAATGGCCTCACAAGGCCTGTTCAGGTCTGGCCTGATTATGGACCAGAGCCCTAACTATGGTGACTGCTTCAGATCGTGAGGTTCAGCTTAGGGCTCGGTGTTCTGGACTGGCCGTGACCCAGCGGAGGTGGTGACTAGGGAGACAGGAGAGATGTTATCTCAAGGGAGTTTTCGACCATTTCTAACCAGGATTCCTCTACTGTGTTGCTATTCCGTATTCCCTAATCCCACAACCAGGGTCTCAGCTAGGCTTGCTTTGGGATGTTACCTGTTCTCCAGCAGGCAAAAGGTTCTTTTTTTCTTCTAACTTTGCTAGAGGGCACGTGCGCTCACCAGAGAGACAGAGCGAGATGGAGAAGAGAGAAAGCACCCCCATGGGTGCTCACACTGCATTCCCTTCTTCATTCCTCTGGGGATTTTGGGCACAGACACACACATACCCAAAGTGTTTTTTAAGCCACCAGGTCTTGGACTCAAACCACACAGTTAGCCATGTGGGATCCAGCCGTCTCAATCTCCACTCTGTTGCTGGACCATTTCTTCCGAAAAGTACTCTCCCACCTGGCTGAGAACCATTGCAAAACAAGGTGGGGCTGCTAGGACTACACTCTCTGGGGTTTCACAGGGCTGTATGTGACTCCAACAGTAACAGCCATCGTGGCAACCCTGAGAGTGGGCACAGACAGAGGCCATGTAACTAGCTCCAGTCCCAGGCAGGACGTGGGGAGCAGGCATCAGCGATCTCCCTTCTTCATCTTCAACCCCGGAACCCACCTGAGTCTGCTGCAGTGGTGTAGCGAGTGGCCTGGGGGCTTCTGCTTTGGAGGCCTCTTCCTGCGCAGCCTCCTCAGGGCCTCGGCCACACGGTGGTCCCCTGCGCACTCCCAGATGATGTGCGCGCGTTCCTCGGCCAGCTGGTCCCCACTGCGCCGAAACAGGCCCTGGATCTGCAGCAGCTCAGCGTCCTGGAAGATGTTGGCCGAGGCCTGCTTGCGGCCCCGGGCCTCCCTCGGGGCCTGCCAGGGAGGTGGCTCGCTCACCACAGAGGCTGGGGTGCCCATCGTGGACGTGCTGAGAATATAAAGCATGGCGACACCAGCTCAGGAGGGCCCTCCCAAACCTGGGGCTGCAGGGGCTCCTGCTGTCTCCTTGCTTCAGGAGCCAAGCGAGGATAAAGCCCTTGCCTGCACATCCATTTCCCAGGACACGTTGGGCAAGCAGTGTTAAAACCAATGGCCAGGTTTATTAAGTGCTGTGTCAGACACCTCATTTAAGATTCACAGCGACCTGTGAGGTCTACCCCATTTTACAGATGAAGTGCGACTCCGAGAGGTCGAACGACCTGCCGGTGGTCACAAAGCCAAGTGCAAATGCAGAGCCAGGAGTCGAACCCAGCTCCGTCTGGCTCTAAAGTCCAGGCAGACACCAGGATGCCCAGCAACAGCTCACACCTGCAGAGTACTCGCCAGGTGTTGGGCACCACAGTAACAGCTTTGTTCACAGGACATCACGGAGGGGTACTAAGCAGGCCAGCCTGTGGGGCAAACACTCCTCATTCACAGATGGGATCTGAAGAACAAGGCCAAGCGTCCGCGCATATGCGGCGAGGGCTGCACTCCAGAAACCTCCGGGTGAAGGCCTGGGCTTGGAGCAGGGCGGTATGACAGACGTGGAGCTGGGTTCCCGGGCTGGAACCCCACTTCTGCCCACCAGGCTTTAGCTGCTTCCTGTGTGAAGCGATCAGCTGGTTCTAGAACGCGCTCTGCAGGGCTGGTGTGAAGGTGGAGCAAGGACATCAAGCACGTGAACAGTGCTCAGCGTTCTCTTCAGTTGAAATTGAGAAGCCTCAACCTACAACCCTAATTTCAATTTCAAGACCTTGGGGATGAACCAAATCCATACAGTTCGGCACGGTATGAACTGGACCAGTCCGATCTAACCACACTCCGGAGGACTAGAGTGGTAATGGCAGATGGGCCGAGGGATGATGACGGATCACACCTGAGGCTGTCCTTGGGCGAGCTTGTGTGTGGACATCAGCGTGTGTACTTACACAAACCCCAGATGGTGCAGCCTTTCATGCCTGCACTGTGGTATAGATCAGGGGACCTCCATGGCATGAGGTGGTGACTGAAACGACGTCAGCCAATGGGATGGCCGGGCTGTCAAGGGCAGAGGTGGAAATTGATAAGAAAGTCCAATAGAAGGTAGGCTTTTATGTCAAGGGTGCCCATCACATCCGGGAAGTGAAAATTCAATGATCTCCCTTGAGTCTGATAGTTCACTTTGAATTACAAAGGCATAAAAAGTTCAGCTTTGTCCTTGTTTCCAGTACAGCCTGCTAAAACTGTGGGATTGGAAAACAGCCTGTAGCTCAGAGAATTCTGGCTCTGCAAGGATTCTGGCACTGCACAGATCTGGGTTTGAATCCCAGCTCTGCCACCTTCCTGGCTGTGTGAACTCCCGCAAGTTACTCTACCTGAGCCTATGTCCGTACTCAGGAGATGACAGTTCTCACTTCTCACAAGTACAGCAAGGGTTAAGTGAGCCAAACTGGGGTCAGGTACATTAAAGAGCTGAAGATAAATGGCCCTCTTTTTGGCCTCCCTGATCTTTACACCTGGATTAGGCTGTGATGTGGACCCCCCCTCCTCCAAGCAGGGTGGCCAGAGCTGAGGACAGATCTAGTCACACCCTCCGGACCCCCATCACCCCCAAGCTGGGAGGAGTAGGTCCTGCTGCTGCTTTTTTTTTTTTTTTCAAGAGAAATTTTTGCTGGGGCTGGCAGATGGTGTGGTGGTTAAAGGCGTTATACTCACACATGGCCAACTGTGGTTCGCGCCCGGACCTTGTGCCTTGCTTTCTTACTTTCCCTCTCTGTCCGTCTCTGTTCCTCTCTGATCAAACTGGAAAATACTACTACTACTACTAAATAAAGTTAAATTAAAAAAAAATTCTTAAAAAATAGATTTTTGCTATGGGGTACGTGTGCTTGCAGGAAGTAAGAAGTCACCACTGTGGGGGGCAGGGCGATAGTCACATGCAATCCCTTCTCTGTTCTCTTCTATGGATTTTGGGCACACATGCACACGTACCTGGTGTATTTCAAACCCCAGGTCTGGGTATCCAACCGTGGTCAGCCATGTGAGAATCCAGTGATGTAACTATTATGCCATTTGCTGGTCCCAAAGCAGGCCCTGCTTCTAACCAGGGCCTGGCTGCCTGAGTCAGCTCTTTCCACAGTCACCGACAAAGATAGCTCTCAACAAGCAGCCAGCTTCCAAAGGGGGAAGCGAACATTAAAACAATCATTTAAATAAAAACATGTACTTGCTCATTGTAAAAGAAGCAAATAATTTCATAAAGAAAAGCATTTCCAGTTCCCTCTTCTCAGCCTACTTGCAGAAGTCACCCTTACTCTGCCTTGCCTCTGTTCTCAGGAGGACGTGAGTCACCTCTCCAACCCATTTTGACTCCCCAAATATGACTCCCTCCCTGGCCCTGCCCTCCTCCCTCAGCTCAGTAGCCACCCTTGTTATTCCAGTAACTTCCATCCTTAACCTGTCCCAGTTTCTGGTCCTTCTGTCATAGGAACGCTACTCTCTCATATTTAAAAAAAAAAGTATGTATGTATTTAATTCCATTTGTTGTCGAGTTTTTGTTTGTTTTTGGTCTTTTTTGGGAGGTTTTTGCTACAGGGCATGTGCACTCGCCAGAAAGACAGAGACAGAGAGACAGAAAGCAAGAAATCACCTGCTGGGGGGGTGGAATCTCTTCTCCTCCATTCTCCTCTCAGGGTCTTGGGTACACACATGCACCCGGTGTGAGTTTATGCCACCGGGTCCAGGACTCGAACCACGGTCGACTACATGGGAGTTCAGTGACATAGCCATTATGCTATCTGCTGGTCCCTATTGTTTAATGTGGACAGAAAGAGAGAGAGAGATGGAAAGTGAGAAAGCAACCTACCAGGTCTGAGACTTAAACTAAGTGGACCATACAGGAGTCCAGAGCCTTAACTACGACGCCCCCTGCTGGCCTCCAACTCTCTTTTCTAAAGGTTTAATAACAACATAAATCTGCAGAGGCCTTCAGAGAAATTAACTTCATAAAAATAGTACTTTTTATCTGGAAAATGGAAATTTAAGAATCTGCCTCTTCAGGACCAGCAAATGGCATAATGGATACATTGCTGGACTTCCATGTGGTGGACAGCAGTTTGAATCCCAGACCCTGCAGCTTAAAATTCACCCTACGAAAAATAAATAAATAAATAAATAAAAACAACAACAACAACAACAAAAAACCTCACCCTACGTGGGGCCAGCAGGTGGTGTAGTGGTTAAGGATGCTGGACTCCCACGTGGCTGACTGAGGTTTGAGTCCCAGACCTGGCGGCTTGCTTTCTCACTTTCTCTCTGCCTGAGCCCCCACCCCGGTCAAATTAAAATAAATAAATAAAGATTAAAAAAAATCTTAGAAAACAAAAACAAACCAAAAAAAAAACCAACTCATGCTGGGTGCATGTGTGTGCACACCCAAAATCCCAAGAGGAGAATGGAGGAGAAGGGATTGCAATGTGGCCATCTTCCCTGGGGAGGGAAGGGGGGTGATTTCTTGCTTTCTGTCTCTCTGTCAAGCACAAGTGCCCTATAGAATAATCTCTTAAAAAGTAATAACAACAAAAACACCTCTCCTTAGTACCATCATGGAATCCAGGTAAAACCTAATATGGGGGCTGGCAGGTGGTGTGGTTGAGGCGCTGGATTCCCACATGGCCGACTGTGGTTCAAGTTCTGAATCTGGCGCCTTGCTTTCTCACTTTTTCTGTCTGTCTCTCTCTGGTTGGATGAAAGAAAAAATAATAAGTAAAATAAATAAATCTTTAAAAAAAAAAAAAAAAACCTAATATGTGTGGTAATTAAGTCCCCAGGGCTGGATTCCACACACATACTATGACCAGAAGTCACCAAGTCCCACTGAGGCTGATACAGAATAAAAAAGCTATGGGCTGTTCATTCATACATGATCACATGCATATCATTTAATCCTCAAAACAGTTCTAAGAATTGGACACTTTTTTTTTTAAGAATTATTTTATTTAACTATTTATTTATTTATTTATTTATTTTTAATTTGACCTGAGAGGGATAGTGCAAGAGAGAGAGAGAAAAAGGGAGAGCGAGAAAGCAAGCTGCTAGGTTCAGGACCTGAACTGCAGTCAGCCATGTGGGAGTCCAGTGCCCTTAAACACCATGCCACCTGCTGGCCCTGGAATCAGGCCCTATTCAAATCCCATTTCAGATGCACAGAGAAGGCGAGACAGGACAGGAGGCCTGGAGGCAGCCACGGCCAGGACCACGTGGTGCTTCACAGCCCAGCAGTTCACAGCACACGTCTTCTGCACCCCGTGACAAGCCGGGAGCAAGCTTCCCTGGCCCTCCTGATTCACACAGGGACACCAGCCAACAGAAAGACGGGCAGAATGAGCCCACAGGGTGGAGGCAGGGGTGGAGGTGTGGGATTCATTTTGTCTCTTCACTAGCGTCGGGGCTGCTGAATGGGTGACAGCCACCCAAGCCTTGAACCCACACACTGAAGAGGAAGATCCTCAGCTTGCACATAAGAAATCTAGACCCACAACGCAGCCCAGCCCAGCCCAGCACTGATGCATGAGTCAGAAGGCTGAGCTGCTCCCTGGCTGAGGCCTCCAGCAGTTCTCATGGCCTCCGTGGGCCAGTTTCTGACTGCAGGAAAGACAGGTCGAGCTGCTGGTCTCAGATGGCCTTCCCTGGGGTCCAGGTCAATGACTGCAGGGCAAGGTAGGTCTGTAAGAAGGAGGGATGGGCTCCTGTGTGCCAGGGCCTGGGAAGGAACCATGTGGACAGGCCAGGAAACTCACCAACCTTCTCTGTACTCAGTCTCCCTGAGGCAGGCAGGACAGTTGCGGTGCAGTGGGCCATGGGTTAGGAACTGCTAGAAGCGGAGTGCACTGCTCTAAAGCACCAAGTGCCTGAGGGAACCAGCAGGTGGCGTGGTGGTTAAGACGCTAGACACTCCCACGTGGCTGACCACGGTTCAAGTCCTGGACCTGGCAGCTTGCTTTCTCACTTTCTCTCTCTTTCTGGTCAAATTAAAATGAATGAATAAGTAAAATTAAATGTAATAATTCTGTAAAAAAATAAATAAATAAAGCACCAAGTGCCATTGCTATGGCCTAGTTCAGGGCAGACTCTGAGGCTGGTGGGTGGGAAGGGAAGGAGGATGACCCCTCTCACACTCAGGAGTCTCAACTCCCCAGGGAAAGAAAGATCAGTAGCAGCAGCTGCCTCAGGAGAAAATGGCTTGGAGCCTGACTTCCAGGAGGGGCCCAGCAACCTCTGCCAGGGCTGCAAGGTCTCGACTCCTGAAAGCCTCCAGGCAGCTGGGTTACAAACACTCACGAGAAACCACTGGGGAGACTCTGAGCCTCCAGCCTCAACCCCACCCTCCATGAACCCTGGAGAGGATGTGGACCTCCAGATTTTGAAGCCTTTCCCTCGGCTCTGCCTCCCACCCTGAAATTTAGACAGCAGCGTAGGAAGAGTGAGGCGGAGAATCAAAATCGATGGATTCCATACAGGTTAAGATGGTAAACTTGGAAAACTGAGGAATCGGGACATTTTTATGGTCAGAAGAAACTTTCCTGTCTCATTCAATGTGTTCAATAGTTTCCCCTAATTCCTTAATCCAGGAAAGTCAGAGTGGACGTGAACAATAGCAGTTGGTACAATGGTTACATTGCTGGACTCCCACATAGCCAACTGTGATTTGAGTCCCGGCCGGACCCAGCAGCTAAAAACTCACGCCAGGCGTGGTAGGTGGCCAAATCCTGAGAGGAGACTAGAGAAGGGACTGTAGCATGGCCACCTTCCCCCCCACCCACAGGTGATTTCTCGCTTTCTGTCTCTATCTTTCTGGTGAGTGTACATGCTCTTTAAGAAAAAAAAATCTCAAAAGAAAAAAAAAAGGATTACAAATAGATCTTCCATTTCAAAGCTGACAAGAAAGATAAGCACCAGTCTGTGCACAAATGAGTGAAGGCTAAATCACAAAATCCTTCACTTTGACACACAGACTAGGTTAAAAATGACCCACCGCTGAGTCAATACCAAATGTTAAAAATGATGAAGTCCAACCTGTTCTGAAACCGGTAATAACCAAGGAGCTCTAACAAAGAAGCAGACTTTAAAAGTGACTGGCGGTGCACTGGATTTGCGGTATCTAAACATGCAGTGATACTGGAAGCTCAGTTCAGACAGCTGTCGAGGTGAGTGTCTCCCCGTGGGCTCAGGGAGGTGCAGGTCACCAGGAGAGGCCGACCACAGCTGGGTGAGTTGGACAACTCCTGTCCCTGACTTTGCTTGCCCCCTTCAAGTAACCTTGGTGATGGTGACAATTTGTGTAATTGGAAGCCAAGAACTTCTTAGAAAAATAACTGGTGGCTCTGGCCCAAGGCCCACATCAACACTTGTGGCCCTGGCCTGCCACCCCGCACAGACATTTCCACTGGACAGAGGCCAAAATCTACTCCTCAAGGGGGAGGCCCGGTCCAAATGGTCATGTGGGGCCCCCCACCTCACACAGCCTCAGTCATGTGTGCCCAGAGAACTGGACACCAGACAGCCTCCAAATCTATGCCTGGGAGGTGGGCAGAGGAACTGAGCCCTTTCCCCAGACCCATTCTCGGATATAACCTGGAAATAAACTGCTACTAGGTCTTGGAAGAAGGTTTGCAAGAGCTCAAGAAACCGGAATTCTCACTATACCACTGGTAAGTGGCTGACCTAGGACAAGTCTGTTTTCCTCGCCTCATTCTGATGGTGGAAATGGTGAGCATCAACCACCCTTAGTGGGGTAGGGGAGATCCAGTGTTCTAGGAGAGCGTTCACCCCAGTACCTCACATATCATTCACATCCCATGCTTGGTTTACTGAGCGAACAGTGGAAGGGAAAGGCTGTTCACGGGATTACAGAATCGGTCCTATTTTCATCACAGCCATTAGCAAATACCACCAAAAGCAGTCTTCACTCTCTGGGGAAGGAGGCAGAGGCGGATGTGTACTTTTAAATCAGAGCTCAAGGAGTAAAATCTGAAGCCGTTTCCTCCATGTCACGGGCAAAACAGCACCTTCAGATGGGCTCCCTGTGATCCTCTCCTGAGGCAGCACCACCGTTATACCCATTTTGCAGAAGAGAATGCTGAGCTCAGAAAGGTTAAGTAACTTGACCAAAATCACACAGCTGGTAGGAGACAGTGGCTGGGCTACGCACTCGGGTAATCTGACCCCAGTGCCAGATGACTGGTGAGGTTCTCAGTGGGCGGAAGGGCCCAGAAGGCTGAGCTCCTTAGGGCCTGCTATCAGCTTCCGCGAATCTGGAAGGCGCAGGGATCTGTCGGGACTCCCAAGCCAGCCTGTGGCCTCTGCACCCAACCGCCCCACGGGGAGTTGGGGCGCTGGGTACTCACCACTGCGAAGGGCGGCCCACGGACCTCAAATCGGGGTAAAGGTACGCTAAGATGAGCCCACCCCGACCTTTCCACGGCCTTTCGAAAGGGCGGGCGCGGCACTAGGCCGAAGGTGCTCCCACGGACCGGGCGTTCACCGCAGGACAAGAGCTCGGGAGAGGCTCACACAGGATATCCCCAGTATGGGTCGGCCCTCGGGGAGCAGACGTGGCAGCTTCGCAGAGCCGCCGGCCCCTACGTGGTGCGCGTCCTGGCGGCACCCCCGCTCCCGCCGCGGCCGCCGACCTACGTACCTGGCTGTCAGAGGCGGGCGGCACGCAGCCCTGGGCCGGCCGGGCCACCTCGGTTCCCGGGAGAGAGAACTACCCCGCCCCGCAACAGCCAATCCTCAGCGGGAGCCTCGGGGTGAGCGCCCCACCAGGCTTCCAAAAGCGAACGCGGACAGTCCCGGGCCAATCAGCGGCGGAGCAGAGCGCGGGGCGTGGCCGCCCTGGTCCCTCCCCTAGCCCCGGCCGCCCTGGCGCGGCTCCCGGAGTCGCCCCCTCCATTGACGTCAGTCCCTCAGACCAGCGCGATTTTGCTGGCGCGGGAGGCGGGCGAGGCCTCGTCCCGCCCCAGGGTGCGGCGGCGGCTGACTCTGCAGGGTACACGTGACGGGCCGGGGCCCGCGCGCACTCACGAGTTCTGGACCGCGCGTGCCCTCTGCGGAGCCTCCAACCCGACAGTTCCAGGCGATCGCCTTGCAGTCCCCCTTTCAGGTTCAGCCTTGAGGGAGAGGACCGGTCTGTCACTGCTGCGATCACATTGTGGGCATCAAAACCAGAGTCACTGTGGGTTCGAATCTTAGGTCGGCTGTGGGACTTTGAGCCACTTATCTAAACGAGACAGTATTTAAAAGTTTGTGTTTGGGGCGGCAAGTGGCGTGGTGGTTAAGGGTGCTGGATTACCCCACATGGTGGACCGTGATTGGAGTCCTGGACCTGGCGGCTTACTTTTCCACTTTCTGTGTGTCCCTCTGTGGTCAAATTAAATAAATAAATAAAATAAAGTTAAATAAAATAATTATCTTTAAAAAAAAAATTAAGAAAGAGATTATGTTCATCTGACAACGATCCTAGTAGGTACCTACCCTGCAGGGACACCTTGACAGGCAATAAACAGGAGAGACCTTGCCATTCTTGCCCTTGGAGTTACAAGCTGGAAGGCCGACATCAAACAACCCGAGACACTTCGTGTGTGATTACGATTGTGATCAATGTTAGGACTATAAAAGCACAAAACTGAGCAACCCAGCTCCCTCCGGGGGGTTCTCAGAGGCAGAAGAAGTATAATAATATCTAACTGAGATCGGAAAGAAGAGGTGAACTAGTTCAAATGAAGAGGATGGGTTGGGAAGAGTGTTTAAGGAAAGAGAAGAACATGGTCCAGGACCAGGAAATAGATTGGTGCTGGAGAAATTCAATGAGTCCTGGAGTGAGACTAGCAAGGGAGAGAGTGGCAGAAGCAGAATGAAGAGGGGGGGCAATGAGAAGTTTGCATTTCATCCCGAAGGGTTTCAGTGGGATAGTACTATGTGTGCAGATGCTCCTTGACTTACGGTGGGTAAATCCACTGTAAACTGAAAACATCTTAAGTCAAAAAAGCATGTACTACACCTAGCCTACCGAGCACAGAGCGTAGCTAGCCTGCCTTGCGGGACTCAGAGCACTTACCTGAATGGCTGGCAGTCATCTTACACAAACCCTGTTAAAAGTGCTGAAGTCTTGTAATCTATTGACTACCTTACTGAAAGTGAAAACCAGTGGATTGTTGCCACTGCCCAGCATCAGAAGAGAATATTGCTAACCTGGAAAAAGAATGAACGATTCCAACTACGGCTTCTCCTGACAGCATATCACTTTTGCAGCATCAAAGAGTAGAAAACTCTCACACTGAACATGGTAAGTCGGGGATGGTATTTAACATGACTACCATGTGCCAGTAACACTAGTCAGCACTTCACCAACATTAGCTTGTTTTACCTTGTGGTGTGTGTGTGTGTGTGTGTGTGTGTGTGTGTAATTTGTTAGAAGTTGTGTGCACTCACCCAGAGATAGGGGGCAGAAAGCATCCTCCATCGGGGTCGATCACGCTGCAATCCCGTTTCCATTTCTCCTTTCAGGATTTCGGGCACACGCACGCACACTCAGACTGTTTCCAAGCAGTGAGACTTGAACCACACAGTTAGCCATGTGGGATCCAGCTGCCTTAACCACACCATTGAATGGCCCCAAGTCTGTGTTTTTAGGAGATAACTCTGGTTGTAACTTAGGAGGTGGACTGGAGGGAGCGGGACTGGGTGCAGGGTGCCCAGTAGGCTCCGTAGCTCCTGTTTTCCTTGGAGACGAGGGCCTGTTTGTGTACTTGCTCACGTGTGGCCAGGAAGGACGCCTGGGTATAAGCCACTTGGTCTCCCCGACCTTTGCCCTTCAGAGCTGACCTTGCTCATTTAACTTGGCTTTCTTTTTAGTAGATATTCCAAGAGGAATATCTGGCCTATGTGGGCTCCCTTTTGCAAGGTGAAGAGGATATTTGGGAGTTGTTCTTCCTCATCCATGCCCTCTAGTTCCTCCATCCTTCTGTACAACAACAGTATCAGGAGGTACAATGCAGTAGCTAAAAATGGGTTTTAGTTTATTATTTTTTGAGAGGTTTTTGCTATAGGGTGTGTGCATTTGCCAGAAACACACAGAGAGAGAGAGAGAGACAGAGAGACAGAAAGCGAGAAATCACCCCCCAGGGGAGATGGCCATGCCGCAATCCCTTCTCCTCCATTCTCCTCTCAGGATCTTGGGCACGCACGCACACGCGCCCAGCGTGAGTTTAAGCCACTGGGTCCGAGACTCGAACCACAGTCGACTACATGGGAGTCCAGTGACATAGCCACTATGCCAACTGCTGGTCCCAAGTTTATTATTATTATTATCATTATTATTATTATTATTATTTGGAGAGATTTTCGCTATAGGGCGCGTGCGCTCGCCAGACAGACAGAGAGAGAAAGAGACAGAAAGCCAGAAATCCCCCCCCCCCCAGCGGGGATGGTCACGCCGCAATCCCTTCTTCTCCATTCTTCTCTCAGGATCTTGGGCACGCACGCACACACGCCCAGCGTGAGTTTTAAGCCACTGGGTCTGGGACGCGAACCGCTGTCGACTACGCAGGAGTCCAGTGACATAGCCATTACGCTAACTGCTGGTTCCCCCGAGTTTATTATTTTTTTAAAGAGAGATTTTTGTTATAGGGCTGTTACAGAGAGACAGAGAGACAGCGAGAAATCACCCTCCAGGGGAATGGTCATGCTGTAATTGTTTCTCCTCCATTCTCTTCTCAGATCTCGGGTACGCACGCACATGTGCCCAGCATGAGTTTCAAGCCGCTGGGTCCAGGACTCGAACCCTAGTCAGCTATGTGGGAGTCCCAGGACGTAACCATTATGCCATATGCTGGTCTCTCCAAAAGGGTTTTAACAATAGCTCCTTTCTGCCTGAAGTTCTGTGGAGATGTTGAAAGAACCAAGAAAGCAGCTGCGTTTATCTGCAATGGAGGGTCCTGGTGCAGAGCCCTTTAGCCCAGGATCGGCAGAGGCCACTGCAGGCTCCTAAATCAGAGGTGGGGCTTCTGAGCTGGGGACTCCCTCTTCCATTCTAGGCAGTAGGAAAGCTTGAACTCTTGGCTATCAGCGCTCGGAGGACCTGGGAATTCTGCCAAGAGTGCGATGAGTGTGACAAGGCGGGCGCCCGGAACTCGTGACTTCTGGGTCAGGTGTGACTAAGGCTGGGTGGAGAATATCTAGTGTCTCTAAACATGTCTGCAGACATGTGACTGTGTGCTTACCACACAGTGGAACCACTTCTGTCGTTAGAGCTTCCCGATTCAGTATTCCTGATGGGCGGATGGAGCTTTCACAGTTCCGGGCTGTGTGAGGCCTCACCAGGAGTGGGGGATCTAGGAGCCAGGGCATGGTGCTGAAGGGCCTTGTTTAGAGAAGGTTGATTTGGAACAAGACCCCTGGTATAATTCAGGTCAAGATTTGGATTTACCCAGGGCCAGATCGAGAAGAGGTGAATAAGGGACTTCCTACAGGGGCAAAATGTAAGAGGTCACCAAAAAATTCAGTAATCAAGACAGATAATATGTATTTATTTAATTTTTACTATAGGGCTTGTGCATTCACCAGATAAAGACACAGAGAGAGGAAAAGTGAGAAATTATCACCCAGGGGCATGGCCATGCCGCAATCCTTTATCCATTGTACCCGGGATTTTGGGCATGCACGCACATGCGCCTGACATGTTTTTCAAGCTGCTGGGTCCAGGACTCGAACTGCACAGTTGGTCATGTGAGGTCCAGTGCCTTAACCACTATATCACTTGCTAGCCTAATAAATAGTATCTTAGTGGGTTTTTTTGTTTGTTTGTTTTCTGGTCAGTAGTCATATGTGCTCACCAGAGAGAGAGTGAGTAAGAATCCTCCTGTTTGCTATACAATTCTTTTCCCTCTGTGTCTCCATCCAATCAGGATTTGGGACACACACACACACCCAGGGTGTTTTCAAGCCACTGGGGCCAGGATTCAAATTGTGGTCTGCCACGTGAATCTGGCTTTCTATACGCAGTACTTAACCACTGTGCTATGGGTTCAGCCCACGTACAATATTTTAAAAGGCCAAAGTTAATACAAAAGAAATCCACGATGCACAAAATATCAAAATGTAAAATAAAGGGCAGGCTGCCGGTGACGTGGTAGTTAAGGCCATTGGACCCCACATGCCCAGCTGTGCAGTCCCAGCCTCAGACCTGGGGACTTGAAAACATGCTGGGTGCATGTGTGTGCATGTCCAAAATCTCGAAGGAAGTGGAGGAGAAGGACTGTGGTGTGACTGTCCCCCAAAGGGGGATGCTTTTTCACTTGCCCCCCCTCCCCAGTATCTCTTTCCTCCAGCAAACACATGTGCCCTCTAGCAAATTTAAAAAATGAATAACAGAAAATGAAATAAAGGGTCAACTCTGTGTCTCGGCAATTAAGGGACCTGGATCTCACATGGCTAATCACATGGTTTGAATCCTGGCCCTGGGGGACTGGAAAACATGCCAGGGACATGCAAGCCTGTGTCCCCAGTCCCAACAGGATGGAGAGGTGAAGGAGAAGGGAGCGGCGTGGTGGCATCTCACGGGGTATTTCTCTCTGGTAAGCACATGAGCCCTTGGGCAAAAAGAAAGAAGAAAGACCAGAGAGAGAGAGAA